CCACTGCAGAGTGGGGAGCCCACTGCACAGAGGGGAGCCCACTGCAGTTAGGGAAGTCCACTGCAGAGAGGGGAGCCCACTGCACAGAGGGGAGCCCACTGCACAGAGGGAAGTCCACTGCAGAGAGGGGAGCCCACTGCACAGAGGGGAGCCCACTGCAGTTAGGGAAGTCCACTGCAGAGAGGGAAGTCCACTGCAGAGAGGGGAGCCCACTGCAGAGAGGGGAGCCCACTGCAGAGAGGGGAGCCCACTGCAGAGAGGGAAGTCCACTGCAGAGAGGGAAGTCCATTGCAGAGAGGGGAGCCCACCATAGAGAGGGGAGCCCACTGCAGAGAGGGGAGCCCACTGCAGAGAGGGAAGTCCATTGCAGAGAGGGGAGCCCACCATAGAGAGGGGAGCCCACTGCAGAGAGGGGAGCCCACTGCACAGAGGGGAGCCCACTGCACAAAGGGGAGCCCACTGCAGTTAGGGAAGTCCACTGCAGAGAGGGGAGCCCACTGCACAGAGGGGAGCCCACTGCAGTTAGGGAAGTCCACTGCAGAGAGGGAAGTCCATTGCACAGAGGGGAGCCCACTGCAGTTAGGGAAGTCCACTGCAGAGAGGGGAGTCCGCTGCAGAGAGGGAAGTCCGCTGCAGAGAGGGGAGCCCACTGCACAGAGGGGAGCCCACTGCAGAGAGGGGAGCCCACTGCAGTTAGGGAAGCCCACTGCAGAGAGGGAAGTCCACTGCAGAGAGGGGAGCCTAGCCCCAGGAAACTCTTCCCTGTGACTGTCTAGCAGAGCCTGGATCTGAACTTTCATCCAAGGACTGTGTGTCTGTCCTTTCCCAGGAGTGGTCAGCCCCTGGCCCCAGCCTGTAGTTCTCTTCTGGGTAAGACCCTTGCTGCCTCCCATAGACCCTTGTGTCTTGTGTGGGTACAGACCCCTTTGTGAGTATCGTTTGATCTCCTGGCAAGACTGGGCCAGGGCTTAAATGTCATGGACTGGTGGGTGTGGCTGCCTGCCAAAACAGCTTTAATTGTGAACATAGAAATTTGAATTTCATGTCAGTTTTGTGTAGTGTCTGCTTGATCTTTTGTGTTGTTTTGTTTTGTTTTTTTCATTTTGTTGACACATGTCTCATGTAGCTCAGGATCCTCTCAGGCTTCTTACATTGCTGAAGCTCTGAGCAGGCACTCCGCCAGTGTGTTTATTTGTTTGTTTATTTAGCTATGCAAAAACATTCAGTCTGTTAAGGGAATAGGCGGGGGCTGACGGGGTCCTACCCTCCACCAGTGCTTATTTTTACCTGCTGGGCAAGAACTACAGCCATCCCTGCAGATGGCAAGGCATGCCCAGATAGAGCTTGCACCCCCATAATAAGACTTTGGAGGTTTTCTCCGGGTATGATGGTAATTGGGAGTTCTCTGAGCTGGTACCACTTCTCATCATGGGGCAACCAGGGCATGTCCCCAGCCAGACTGAGCTGCCTGTCTGTTCTTAGGGAGTCTCTTGTCTGTCTTGTGCTCAGTGTGGGGAATGGTCTTGCTCTACTGCCTGCGGGTTGCCTCTAGGCACAAAGACCTGTGGCCTGGACCTGTGACAGCTGGGGCCACCCGACACCCTCTCCTCCAAAGCTGCTTCTCAGCTTCTGTGCTTGCTAAGGTGGCCCCGAGTCCCAGTTGGTTGAGCTGCCTGACAGTCAGGCACTGCCCGGCTCTTGTTTCGGGACAGCAATCCCCTGCGTCCAAAGTGGCTCTGTCCTTGCCTGTCCCCTTTGGGAGACCTTGGGCATGGTGCCTCACTCCTTTGGGTCTCAGTTTATTTGCAGGAAGCTGAAGGACTTAGGCCTATAGGGTCTGATGAGTAACCAAGAGGCCAGTGAAGTGTCCAAGGCCTGGGATACGAGGGGAATACCAGCCAGGCTCCTGCCTGGGGTGTGGTTCAATGCATCCAAGACTGAGGCTTCCTCCTGGCTGCCCAGCCAGAGCCCCTTTGAACAGCAATCCTGTGTCCTCAGCACCTGTAACCATCTGGGTGATCATTTATCTCCAGAAGGACCAGCTCTGATGCAGAGGCAAAGCCAGTCCCTACCATTGAAACAGAGACCCAGCAAATATGCCCCAGGCGGTGGGTGGAGGCTGCAGGCACCTGAGGGTAGAGGCCATCTAATATGGGTTTATTGGGAAGGGTTGAATGTTTGAAGAAGGAGGAGGCTCTCAGTGTCCCACAGCTTCCTACTCAGCATGGAGCTAAAAAAATGCCAGTGTTTTTGTTTGTGCTCTGCCTGGGCCCTGCAGATCTTACTATGATGACAAGGTTCAGTGAGGGGCTAAGAGCGTTAGTTATCGCCAGGCTTGCCACTATCATGGTGGTCACTGGTGATAACCCTCCTGCACTGTCTGCCCACAGGTTCCAGTCTTTGCTTGAAGTCTGTTACAGCTGGAACTGTAGCTTTCTTGTTCTGTAGTGTTTGTTTATATTTCAGTTGTTTTGAGGAAGAATGTAGCCCTGGCTACCTTGGAAATTGCTATATAGACTCACCTTTAATGCCCAGAGGTAGAAGGAGGTGAATCTCTGTGAGTGCAAGAACTAATTGTTTAGTGGGCTCCTCCCAGAGGGGGCATTTCACAGTGACAGGAGCTCCAGTTTCACACTCAGTAGTGGGCAGTGATTACACAGTCACAGCCTGCCTGACCCAGGGCCCCCAGGGATTGTTGGGAGGATTAAAGGGGATGAGAAATGAGGACGGTTGTCCATAGCAGGTGCTATTTATTGAGGCCACTCCTTGTCCCTTAGCAGGCCCTATTGTTTGGATCTCACTCTTACTCCCTGGAACCCTGTTCTAGAGTCCTCAGCTACCTACAGAATGTTGGAGCCAGACAGTACAGAAGCCGATCTAGATGCTGAAATGCTGCCTCAGGGGTCCCCGGCTGCAGCCCTTTCCTAAGCAGGCAAATGGACGCCAGCTCCTGACACTCAGTCTCCTGGACACAATTAGATTAAATTTTTCCTGTGGAGGGAGGAGTGTCTCTGGCCTGCCTGGGCCCAGCTGTTCCTAGGAATGTGCAGGGAAGGAAACATAGACAGGCCTGAGCAAAGCGGTTCCCTGGTAGGTGAGAATAGCTCCTTGCTCCTGGAGATAGCTTTCCTCTTGCACTGTTTATCCAGGAGTTTATGGCATGTCTGTGGGTGTTCCAGCAGTCCTGGGAACCCCGGAGGAGGAGAAACAATAATTGCCCTTGTCGTGTTCAGGCAGACCTTCCCCAGGCCAGGCCTGGACTGTGGTATCTCAGACTCCAGCTCTCTGATGCATGCGTGCAAGGTTTGCTTTCCCTCTTGCAGAGACTGTGTGGGTTCTGCTGAGACCAGAGGCACCTCATTATAAAAGGTCCCTGTCCCTCTGCAGTTCTCACACCGAGGCCTGACATCTTGGCAGATTGGAGCTGCCATTTCCTCTCGTCTCCCCATGTAGTCCTTGAGTCTCTGTGAGCATCAATTCCCACTACTTGCATGCCACCTGGGATGGGGATCACCACCCTTGAGTAGTCCTTCCATTCCCCAGATGGCGTTGCATCAAGCCGTGCCCAAAGCTGCCCTTTCCAAGGGGCATCTAAACCTTCCCATAACAGAGCTGTCACAGGCTGAAGGGGTCCTCATGGGAAGCCACATGTCTCTCCCTTAGCTCAGTCCCATCTCCAGTCTCCGGAAGTGTGCAAGGTAGAAGTAGGACTCTACTCAACAAGGAGGGTAGAGTGTGAAAGTGCTCAGAAAAGAGCGGGGACCCGTGTGTGAATGTGTAGACTCAGAGGAGGGTGGGTGTTAGCAGTCTCCATTCCTTTTGCCCTGGGTTCCCTTCTCTCTGGGTTTCCCTCCCCAGGACGGCGGGAACACAGTCAGGCTGTGCTGCCCCATACCCTAACCTGGCCCTACCCATTCAGCTGTTCCAGTCCAGCTGTCCTCGCCCAGCTGCTTGGGGATGACTTTCTGTATCCCATGGAACCTGTCTGGCCTTGGGGAGGAGAGGGAGGCCAACTTTCTGCCTCTCCCGAATCCTCTGCCTCCCAGGGAGATGGGGAGTTTTGTTATGGAGGGCCATGGTACCTCACACTGGCTTCTGCCACTTCAGAAGTGTAGCTTGTGTTGTTCAGGGTGACCATCATGAACACTAGGAAACAACCTGGGCATCCCAGGGTAGACTACCACGTGCTTCATGGGCTAGGGATTTCAGTGCAGCATCCTAAGGCTGGGCCTGTAACCACGCAACCCCCCAGATTCTGAAAATGCTACCGACATATGAATTTTTGGAAGGAATGTATAGCCCCCAAATATGAATAGGTACCGATTGATCAATAGTATTGATTTCTATGAGACATATAGGATTGTGTTTTGGACAAAGGCTACTTTGCAGAGATTATACAAAACCCTCTGCCTGGCACGAACACAGTTTTGCTGCAAAGCACACACAAAAAGTAACTGCTTAAGATGGTAACAGTTGCTATAGGGCTATGGCAGTAAGAGTCCATGGCTGGCATTTATGTTTCTCTGCATTTGTTGAATGTTTTGAGACATATATTTACTCCCTTTGTTGAGAAGCCCCTCCAGTCTCAGCATCTGGGAATAACCAGCCTTGATCCTAGAAAGGGCATCAAGTTGGGGAGCTAGCCCTGGGTCTCACACTGGTCAGTCAGTCACTTACTAATTTCTTGGCCTTGTGACTTGTGCTAATGTCTCCCCAGGTAGGTCCTAGAGCCTGGTGTTATGGAGGTGAAGGCCTTCCTGCCCTGTGTAGTAACATCTCTCTGGGCCAGAGGCTTACACATCCTAGCTGTGTGACTTCGGGCTAGACATCCAACCTCTCTGTGCCTCAGCACCACGTAAATCAGATGCAGTGCTGGTTGCTCCTTTGTGAGGGGGCTGAGATGACCGGGTCTGGGGATGAGGGCGCTGGTCTTCTGCCCTGCTGTGCCCTCCAGGGACCCCTAGCCTGCCTCATCACCTCCTCCCCTTCCCTCTCCCCAGGGGGCTCCAGGACCTGCAGGATGGGGGCAGCCTGCATCAAAGTCACCAAGTACTTCCTCTTCCTCTTCAACTTGCTGTTCTTTGTAAGTATGTGGCATCCAGCCCTCTCAAGCCCCAGACTCTGGGCAGGTACTAGGTGGGATGTGGCTTGTGGGTCCCTGAGAGGATTATGATGGTGGAATGGATTCACCTCTTCAGATAGGTTCTCTGACAAAGCAAAGGCTCCTGTCCAGAGCCCTCTGCCTGGGCGGGGTGGGGGGTGGGGGGTGGGAGGGTCGGGTGGACACATTCTCTCCCTCTAAGGCAGAGTGGCAGAAGAAAGCCCCTCCCTCAGTATCTCCGGTTTGTTCTTCTCCTGCCACACCCCTCGCCTGTTACCTATTACAGTTCTGTTGACCAGGCTCCCAACACCCCACCTTGAACTCTCAGAGGCCACAGGGGACATCCTTTCCCCACACCCCCATACAGACCACTAAATTCCCCGCCACAGGCCGGCCCAGATGAGAGCTCCGTGGCACATCTGGAGTTGGTTTTCCTGGGGCCCCGGGCTTCCCCTCTGGCCTGGAACTGACAGCCCTGCCTTGGTGTTGCCAGACCCGTGGTGTGTGTGTGTGTGTGTGTGTGTGTGTGTGTGTGTGTGTGTGTGTGTGTGTGTGCGCGTGCTTGTGTGTAGTGGGCGTGTGAACAGCCTGAAGAGTCCTAATGGGGTTGTGGCTTCTCCAATAATGATTCAGTCTGAATAGTTTTAAGACATAGGTTATGTATAGCAGGTTTTTATGTTTTATGGTGTCTAGATTCTTATGTTTAAGAGGCAACAGATAAGCCCCTGCCTGCTTGTGTTGGGGTTTCTCTGAAGTATAAATGAGTTACTTATAGGGGGAAGTTTCATTTTATAAGTGCAAGGATTATGGGAAGTTTGGAACAATCACAAAGAATCTTTCTAAATTCCCCTTCAAAACTTTATCCCAGTACATGGTACGTACAGGAGTGTTCCTGGTACACGTTCATATGTGTCTGCATACATTTATGCACACACAGGTGGGCTGTCCTCACATGCTCCACGGTAGGTTCCCCTAGGCCCTGCTGAACAGGTCAGCTGGTCCCACTAGGCCTCAAGCTCTGCAGTGAGGGTGTGGGTCCCAGAAACCACCGTGCCGGGTGTACAGGGTGCTGCCCTTCCCCCACCTGGCAGTCAATCCCTCCCAGCTGGCTTCTAGGGAACAACTGCACAGCAGAGAGAGCAAGTGGTCTTCTGGACACCACACTCACGGGACAGGGCCAGGTGACAGGGACTGTAGGGCAGGGCCACATAATATTGCTGTGTCTCAGGCCTTGGAAGCTTGAAAAAGGAGTCAGGGTTTGTGCTTGGTGAGGCAGCAGGACCGGGGATGAAAGGCACAGAGTTTTTTTCTCTTTCTGTCTTCTATGCAGTCTGGGAGATACAATGGAAAAGATCCATGAGCTAGCAGAAAATGAGAAAAAGGTGGCTTGGTCTGGGCCTCTCCTCTGTGCTTCTCTGGGCTGACTCATAGAGCCAGAGGCCAGAGAGCTGGCTTGGCTGGTGCCAACTGCCTGTGTATTGACCGAGGTGCTCATCTAGCTGGGCAGGAGAAGGAAGTGGAGACAGTGCTTATTCACCCCTTCCCCATCACTCCCCCAGCACCCCTGTGAATTTGTGAATTTGTGATTTCCAACCAGGACAGTTGAAAAGTATCTCCAGAATGTGGTGTCTTTACTGAGCATGTGCAGACCACTCCTGCTCACTCACTATTCCCTAGACATTGCAGTATGATCACTGTGTGTATGGCATTTCCTGTGAGTGTCAAGTGTTACAAGCCATCTAGAGGTAATTCAAAGTAGGAGTGAGGCTGGGTTGCCACTTGGTTGGTAGAGTGCTAGGTACTAACCTCAAAACACCAGGCCAACAAGAAAGGGAAGGACAGCAGGCTGTGGTCACAGTGGCCCGGGAGAGAAGGTCCCTCACTGAATCAAAAGCTTAGTTTCTGCTGTGCTGCCCTGCTAGCACGATCTGCCTATCATTCCTCCTCATGCTGGGGTTATAGCATCCATTCACAGCCTATATAGCATGCACAGATTTTTATATGGGTGCTGAGAATTTGAACTCAGGTCCTCACCTTGCAGGGAAAGTTCACCTACGCATTGAACCATCTTCCCAACCCTTCAGGAGTTTTTCTAGTAAGAGAACAAAGAGAGTCATAAATTAAAGCACATTATAAAAAAGAATGAGAGGATTTTTATTTCTTGTATTTAGTGATACAAAAACAAACTCTGACTTGATGTACGTTCGTGTAGAAATTTTCTACAGTGTTCACAACATGCTATGTTACGATGCAGTACTAGTTTGCTTTGTGCTGTTATGATAAACACTATGACCAGAAGCAATGTGGTAGTGGTGGTAGGGATATTTTGCCTTCCACTTCTAGGTCATAGTCCATCATTGAGGGAATTCAGGGCACAAACTCAAGGCAAGAACCTGAAGTATAAACCCCAGCACTCGGGAGGCAGAGGCAGGCGGATCTCTGTGAGTTCGAGGCCAGCCTGGTCTACAGAGCGAGTTCCAGGACAGGCTCCAAAGCCACAGAGAAACCCTGTTTGGAAAAACAAAACAAAACAAAAACAATACAAAACAAAAAAAACGGTAGAGGAGTGCTGCTTGCTGGTTCACTCAGAGGATCATGCTCTGCTAGCTTTCTTATACACTGCCTGGGGAATGGTGCCACCCACAGTGGGCAGAGCTCTCCTGCATCAATTAATAACCAAGCCCCACATAAGTGCTCACAGGTCATTTTGATCTAGGCAATTCCTCCAATGGAGCTTTCCTTTCAGATGACTCTAGGCTGTGTCAAGGTGACAGTGCTAATTAGGACAGATGTCCAAACTTCATTCCAATCCATTTCTCCCTTTATACTCTGACACATCGTCTTTAAGTTGTTTGAGGTAGACTCACAGGAAGGCCATGGTGCCTGAGGTCAGCCCACCTTTCATCCAGTCAGGGGTGGTATTCAGGGCTCCTGCACATAGAACTTGGAGGGTGCAGTCTGGGGAGCCAGGTGGGACCAGCTGGTGTGAAGTGACCTCAGAGAAGTTTTCAAATACATTGGTATTTCAAATACATCTGGTAGGTGGGTTACAGCAAATCAGAGGTGGAAGATCTCTGTCATAGGCTTCTGATGCTATCTGATGACATTCTTAGTGTTTGGGTTAGTAGAAGTTAGTGTTTATGTGCTCCAAAGAGATTTCCCTAGAAGTCACAAGGATGTTAGATCACCCACAAAGTGTGCAGTAAATGGCTATTTAGAGGACTAAAGACAACGAAGTAATTTGCTCTCAACTGTAGCATTCCAGCTTTCCACAACCACAGTTCTCATCCCTTAATTATATATGGAGGCACTTCAACTTGGTGTGGCTTTTTTTCTGGAAACTTCAGCTCATGGGAAGAAGGGCACAGTGTGTGTGTGTGTGTGTGTGTGTGTGTGTGTGTACCCTGGACTTTCTCAGGATGGAGGGAACATCTACGATTTCTCCTACTCTTTCCTCCCTTGCTTGGGCCTGGAGGACCTTTCTGACCTACCTGTTCTGGGCTTCCGCTGACTGCCCCTCTCCTTGCAGATCCTGGGTGCCGTGATCCTGGGCTTTGGGGTGTGGATCATCGCAGACAAGAGCAGCTTCGTTTCTGTCCTGCGTAAGGCACCCCCTACACCACAGACAGCCTGCCCTTGAGGGGAGGGACATATGGGTTCAGCAGCCCTCAGAGACATGGCCAGTTCCTGTGACTGACTACTGCACAGGGGCCCCTTGCCAGGGTTCTAGGACAAATTACTGCTCACAGACAAAGCCACCATTGTCTGTAGATCCATGGGTGACTGGGCTGGGGGTGGAAGAACTCATTCTCTTCACCCTCAGAAAAGCCTCTCACATCCCCTGTCCCTGTGTTTGACTGCACAGTGAAAGTAGGTTGCTGTTGATTTCCACTTCAGAGGGCCATAGGAAAGAGCCAGTAATGGCAGACAGTCAGGTGCATGTAGGGTCCTAATCCCAATCGCCCCGTTCTGTTCTCACTGGAAGAATGACTGACGTTCACACAGCTCCTGATGGTGATTTGCAAGCAAGACCCAACCCCACGAGCTCTGGTCCTGAATATAGCCCAGAGTGGGGTGAGCTTCCATGCAAGGCCCCTTCTGTTCTTCAGAAGGAGAGGTGACCATGGGTTGGCCTAGGACTCAGTGCCTAACCTCCTCGCCTCCTCCCTTGGGAGGCCCTTATGACTGGCTGTGTTGGCGGTTCCCAGTTCTGGGTGGGGAGGGGTGGAGCATGCCAGGAGCATTCCGTGCCAGCCATTCCCCAGTGATTGGCAGGCCCTGGCCCTCTTCTCTTTCAGCAGCTGTCCCAAGCAGCTGGATCAGACTCTGGCCAATCTGACAGCTGTTTGATTTAAGTGAGACAGAACCTGGCTGGGACATGAGAGGAGGGTCTACACCTGTTGCACAGGTTCCCAGGGCCAGGTCTTACTCCAGGAGTAGAAAGCAGGGATGATCCTGCCGTGAGCTCAGTGCCTGGGTTAGGGTTGGGTGGGGTTTCTGTGCATACCCCTACACTCCAGTGCCCACCTACAGGGACAAGCTCTCCCCTAGACCTGGTTTGGTTTAATGGGTCCAGACCACACCCAGCAGGCACTGCGCCAGGGCTCAAAGTCTGCAGGCCACCTCATTCCTGCCTGCATCCTGCCCTGTGTGATCAAGCCTTAAAGGCCTCTGACCCTCCACAGCTCTGTAAATTCCAGGCCCAGATCACACCCATCACACACCCACCTACTGCTGTTCTGTGTTTACAACAACTTCAAGGGGCTGGAGTGCAGCCGGGACCCAGAAACACTGATCTGTGAGGCTGGGACAGGCAGACTGCTGTACTGTCTAGGCCAGTGTGGACTACAGGGTGAAAACATATTTCAAAAAACAAAACAAAACAAAAATCAAGGTCAAAATACAAAGAAAAGAAACCCTGATCTAGGAGCCCAGGCATTTGGAGAAACTGAGGCTGATGGAGGCTTTGCTTACAAGGGAGTATCCAAATGGGACCTAGGGCTCCTGACTTGCTGTATGACATGGCTGTTACTTACCTAGTCGTACCCTTGCTCCATGTCCCTGGTACTGGTCTCCACTCTCCCCATGGTCTGCTTAGGCACAAGAAGGAGGGGGTACTATGCCTGAGGGCACACAGACAGAAGGGGAGGGGGTGGGGATAGCAGTGGGTACCTGGCCCTTGCACCATGTGACTGCCTTGTCCCTCAAGGTGGGATCTTCAGAAGAGAAAGCAGGCAGGCAGGCAGGGTTAAGAGGGAACCCTGGATCTGGGAGTGGGGGCGGGGGTCAGTCATCACAGTTCTGCTGACTACCAGCTGTGTGGTCCTCGGCAAGTTACTTTATCTCTCTGTACTGCTTCATCCACAAAACAGGAATGACAGCAGTATATCTCGAGAGACTGTGAGGGTTAGAGTCTCATTCTAAAGCAGGGCATGGAGATTGCACACCTGCAGTCTCAGCACTTGGGAGCTAAAGGCAGGAGGACCAGAAGTTCAAGACTGTCCTCTGCTACAGAGAAAGTTTGAGGCCAGCCTGAGTTCCATGAGACCCCGTCTGAAACAAGCCTACCAGAAAGATCTGTCATTTCTATGTGAAGACTTTAGAACCACTTTGAGTGGGTTGTGTACTACAGTTTAGTCCTTATGACCATGAGACACTGCACAAAGTCCCATGTTCCAGAGGAGGAAGGAGGAAGTAAGTGCTCTGCCACAGGTCCTGGCGTACTGGCAGAGACTGGTCACCTGAATGGGTGTCCAGTCCCTTCAGTTTGTATGGCCTGCTGTCTACCTTCCTGGTCCCCTGCTGGCTGAGTCAGATAGACTCTCCTGCTGTACACAGGGCAGGGGCCACCCTGGGGATAGGTACTTGTCAGTTGCCAAGCCAGCCAGGCTGCTCAGATTCAGGAAGACAGAAACTAAGTGGGGACAGCAGGTCTTGGGGTCTCACAGGGTCAGCTCCATGTACCTCAGCTTTCCTGAGCCTCAGGAAAGCTTCTAGAGAGACCTGGGTGTGAATTCTACCTCCCCAGACAGTGCTGTGTATGCAAAGGGCTTTAGTCCAAGGACCTTGCTCAGGGTTGGTGCATGGCACCCTTTTTGTCCCAGCCAGCCTGTCTACTGGGACCCAGACTGGGGACCTGCTAGCCTCTCCCAATCTCTGTGACCCCCCCCCCAGAGTGTGAGGCCAGTGTGAGAAGCTTGACTCCAGAAATTCTCACGTGCCCCAGGGGACTTTCCCAAGTGTCTTGGGGCTTTGAGTGGAACTGGAAAGGAGTTGACTCCAGGATCATGGCAGCGAGGAGGGTGGGTCTGGGTTTTCCTGAGCTCTGGAACATTACATAAGATCATAGTGCCTCCTCTACACCCCAACCCCTGGCTCTGCTCCATCCTACCCACAGCCAGCATCTTGTGAGCAAGCAGTAAGAATGACCAAGTAGGTCTCTGTCACCCTTGCTGGAGGGCCTGAGTTGGCCCTGGCTGTGCCTCACCCCTAGAGGACCACATGAAGGATTCCTTCTCCCTCCAGCAGACCTTGGCCCTGTGTGAATCTGGGTCTCATGCTGGCATGCCAGCTCTCAGAGACAGAATGATCAGTTTAAGCCTAGGCTGTAGCAAGACCTTGTTTCAAACAGAAACAAAGCAAACAAACAAAAACAATCCCCATTGTGCTGAGCATGGTGGCCCCCCCAATTGCCGCAGAGGCAGACTACACTCCATCTGTGAGTTGGAGTCCAACCTGGTCTATATGGTGAGTTCCAAGATAGTCAAGGCTACGCAGAGAGATTCCATCTCAAAAGAAACAAAAGAAAACACAAAGAGTCTCCCTGTTACTTCTGCCCTCCATCTTCTGACCACAGACCCCACCTTCCCTTATGAGGTCCGCCCAGCTCCCCAGTGCCATTCCCTGGCGGGTCCCCATTTCCCACAGCGGCTCAGCCTTCCCAGACATGCTGAATTTCCTGCTTTCCTCTCTGCACCTGCTTTGGTTTCTGCTACCTACAAAGCACAGTAGACCCCTGTACCAGCTGGCATCTTCCCACCCTCAAACCTGTCCCTGCACCGTGGTCCTGGCCAGCCTGGGCATCTGTGGGTCTTCAGGGTCCTCAGCAGAGCCTCTGTGGTGTCTGCCTCCTGACCTACATGCTCCTCCAAATGGCAGACCTCCCAGGAAATGCCCCTCAGCCCCACCCTTCTGCTTTCAGAGTCTTGGGGTTCAGGGGAAACCAGGTGTGATGTGTAGAGAACAATAAGGAGGAAAAATGACCTTTGACTGGGTGGGTGTGGAGTGCAGTTGTACCCAGGACCAGGATCCGGTGGAAACATGGCTGCCCCCACCCCAGCTCCTGAGAGTCCTGGACTCAGGTTGCCTTTACCCTGTGGCTCATGGCTCACTGGGTGATGCCCTTCTCCTTCAGAAACTTCGTCCAGCTCGCTGCAGGTCGGGGCCTATGTCTTCATCAGTGTGGGTGCCATCACCATGCTCATGGGGCTCATGGGTTGTATCGGTGCTGTCAACGAGGTCCGCTGCCTGCTGGGGCTGGTGAGTCAGGGTCCTGAGCCTGCAGGGGTGGGATCTCCAGGTGGGGAGTCCTTCCTGGGATAGGGCTAGGCATCCCTGGGCCCAAGCTAACTCTGTACCTTTGTCCCTAGTACTTCGTCTTCCTTCTGCTCATCCTGATCGCACAGGTGACTGTAGGGGTCCTCTTCTACTTCAATGCTGGCAAGGTGAGTGAGCATTGCGTTTTGTCACTAACGCACTTTAGCCTGTTTCAAACACTATCGCTCTGCCACAGATGAGGCCAGGGAGAGGTCTGTTAATGCAGACAGTAAATGTTTAGCGTTCAGAATGCAAAGTCAGACTCACTGTGGCTTAAGCTGGAGCACATTGTGTGCTGCTGACTTCCTCAAAAGTCTGGTTTACAAGTTCAGAGGCTGGTCACTGGAAGAATGTTCTGGAGCATGAAACCTCATGGTCACAAAGGTGGCTGCCACAGCTCCAGGCTCAGCATTTGCCTGCTGTGGCCAGAAGAAGAGAGGGCAATGGTAGCCAGGACTTTCCTCAGACGGCTTCTCTGCGCTGGATTGCAAAGGCACCTGAGAAAGTGTGAAGCTTTCAGACTGGCTGTGGGGAATTGTGACCGCCCAGTGCTCAGGTCTGGGTACATGCTGTGTGTACTGGCACTGTCTAGAAGCTTCCATGTTTCCAAGTGGGGAAACATGCATTTTATTGAGACAGGGTCTCACTATGCAGACCAGCCTGGCCCAGAACTCAGAGATCCAATTGCCTCTGCATCCTGAGGGCTGGTATTAAAGACATGTTCCACTATGTCTGGAGAAGTGGATGCTGAGGGAAAACACTGGTCACAGTCACCTGGGCCCCAGCACCCCTGTTGCTGGATCCACACAGGGTCAGTGCTGACCTTGTTTTATCCATGCTGTCACTAGTCTCCAGCCAGGTGACTTGAGGCAGGACCATACAATGGCCTCTCTCCTGCCAGTGAGAAACCAGAGAGGCCCAGGCTCTCTGACTCCCTTAAGAGGCCCCACTGGGCCCCATGAACGTCAGGGACTCCCTCTCCTCCTGCCACGCAGCCCGGGGTGGGGTCAAGGCTTTCCTGTGTGGACGTAGGTCCCTCTTGGAAGCTGAGAACATTGGTCCAACATTCAGCTTTGCAGAACCAAAAAGGAGCTGGGTGCTGTGCTGTATGTACACAGTTTGTTATTTAGCCAATTTTTAAAACCATGCAGGAGATCAGAGAGGGGAAAAATGTCATTTTCAGATGCAGGAGCTGAAGCACAGAGAGGTAAAACAATTTACCCATGTTCACATAGCTAGTGAGCAGCAGAAGCAGGATGCAAATCCAAGATTCAGAGGTCATGCTGATAAAATATTGACCACAGTGGTTCTTTACCTCAGTTCACTTTGGTTTATAACCCACCCCAGCCTGTTCACCAGGTGAGCTGGGCATAGGGCTCCTAGCATGGGCATAGAGCTCCCAGCATGGGCATAGAGCTCCCAGCATGGGCATAGAGCTCCCAGCATGGGCATAGAGCTCCCATCATAGTCACAGGGCTCCCAGCATGGGCATAGGGTTTCCAGCATGGGCATAGAGCTCCCAGCATGGGCATAGAGCTCCCATCATAGTCACAGGGCTCCCAGCATGGGCATAGGGTTTCCAGCATGGGCATAGAGCTCCCATCATAGTCACAGGGCTCCCAGCATGGGCATAGGGCAGCTGCAATCAAAATGAGAGAGAAGAGAGCCTGCACGAAGGGCAGAGCTGCTGTTTCTGAACTAGGGCAGCTGAGGGCTGACCTGAGCCTCCAGGTGGCAAAGGCAAAAGAGGAAACGGTGCAGTTACTAGATGAAAGGAAGCTCATTTGGATGTCAGGCAGGAAGCTAGTGGTTAGAGGGAGGGAAACTCCTTACCCATCGGGGTGTAGGGTCAGGTACTCATTTCTCCCTTGTGTGGCTTTTCTGGGACCCAGTCAGTCAGGGTACATTGCAGCGCAGCTAGATAGGAAGCTGGTGGCCTCTGCCGGGGGTCTGGGCCACGCTCACCCTAGTAGAGCTGCTGTCTCATGGTGATGACAGCAATACCCTCTGGGTGGGCATCAACCCCATGTCAGGGGCCAAGTTTGAACATAACATGTTTTAGATCTGCAAACATTTCCCATCCAAGAAACAGAGTTTCACAAGTGCCAAGGTGACTTTGGCCATAGTCACACACACTTCAGCCGCATCAGAGTGACTTCCCTGGGGTCCTTCTGCCTGCTGACTCCCGTCTGTGGTAGAAGCCCAGGAACCTGCCTCCGAGTGCCTGCAGTCCTGGATCAGGGCTGGTTCGAGAGTCAAGCCTTTGAGAGCTGTGTGTCCCGCAGCTCTTCATCCCCGGCTCCCACCTCACCCCTTCCTGTACAGAACGGGATCCCTGGTCTGGGTGAGATTCTGTCCCTGCACCCCTGAGTTGGAAGGAACATTGTAAATCACAGCAGGAGACTAAACATCCCTCAGTGATGTTTATTCCTGCAGACAGGCACAGCTGGGGAGGTGGGGTAGGGTTTCTCAGGGCAGAGGAAGAGGCCTTCTAGAAGATGGGCTGGCCTCTCTGTCCTCAGGGGCCTATCAGAACCTGGTTCTAAGACCCCAGGCGGGAAGTCCCCCAGCCTCGTTCTACCTCAGCTTCCTCTTCTGTGGAGTGATGCCTCAGGCCACTCTCCCTTGGGTGTGTCTCTGTCAAGAATGTCCTCTGAGACCGCAGCTGTAGCCACTCAGTGGCAGTATGGTCCAGGAGCAGACCAGGTCCCCTGTGCCCAATAGCTGGTGTCCCTGAGGAAGTCAGTGGGTACAATTGTGCTAATGCCCCAGACCCTTGTGGCCTGTGACATGTCACCAACCCTTTCTGGTTGTTCTGAGACTGGGTTTCATATACTCCATGCTGGCTTTGGAGTTACTTTGTCACTTTGAATGTGTGATACTTCTCCCTGCCACTCCTAAGTGCTGGCAGTACAGCCACACCCCTCTTTCACCCCTCTCCACCCCCCAGTGTTATTAAGTCGGGGGATGAGATCCAGGGCTTTGTGCCTGTCAGGAAAGCGCTTAGCCACCAAGCCACCCACACCCCAGGCTTCCCAGCCCCTCTGTAAGATCTGAATGCCCTTAGGCTTCCTTCCTGTGCAGTGTGGACAGTGGTAAGGTAGAGGTTCACAGTTCAGGGCCCTTGGCTGGCCAGTGGATGTCATGGCATCACTGGCTTGAGACTTCACTAGGCCTGGTGAGGGTTCATAGATAGCAGCTGCACCCACTAATGTCAGGATAGGCCAAGCTGAGTGAACAAGACGCGGGGTGAAGTCACAGGGACTTAGGGGTCAGTCGTCATCCATTGGCTGTTGACTGCTGTGTATTCACCCAACCAGTGTTGGGAACAGGACTCAGGCCTGCTCCTTGGCAAGCTCTGATTCTGATTGCTGTGTGACTTCGGTGGTTACACACACCCTCTGAGCTGTCTAGATGTCTAGGATGGGGATTCTGCTGGTCCTCCCTAGGGCAGTAGAGAGTGAGAGGGTCACGGAAGAATGAGGTCTTCCTGTTTCCATGGGCTAGGCTGGTTTGGTTGCAAAATGTCAGCCACGTGATAGCTTCCCGTTAACATGTACAGAGGTGTCAAGAGCCTGACTTGGGTTGGAGTGCAGGGCCTGGAGCGAGAACTGCAGGAGGAAAGGTTCATGTGGGGGTAGGGTGGGGCCAGATTGTTCCAGAGAGGGTGTTAGGCAAGCTGGATCCCTCCCAGCTCCAGGAAGCTGAAGTCACGAGTGTGCTCCAGGCTGGGTGGGAGGTGGTAGGCCAGGTCTGCAGAGACAAAACCTTCTCTGTGAACAGATTTCTCTTGCAGATAGTGTTCCAGTCACAGGACAGGTGGCCTTTTCTTCCCTGCTGCGAAGGGAGAAGGCAGCTGGCTGTTGGTTGCCCAGGGTCACAGAGACGCGGGTGGAGTCTCTCAAGTGGGCCATGAGCCCTGGAGTCTGACTGCGAGGGACCCAGGCTTTCTGTCAGCTTACGGTGACTGGGGGGCATGGCACACTCCTATAGACTGTGTGGATTGCACTCAGGTGGTCGTTAGAAGTGAATATCCCGTCTCGTGGCCCAAGTGGAGCGCCTCATTCCTGGAGTCTTCGGTGGGCCCCTAGGAGCAGTGCTGGGCTGCTCTGACACGTTAGAGGAGACTGTGCCGTCTCCCACAGAACCTGAGTAGTGGCCACGGGAAGGAGGGCACAGGACACCAGTGATCTTTGGCCCAGGAAAGGACTTAATTGGTCCTGTGTAGTCAAAGCTAGGACTTAAGGGGACCAATGCCAGTGAGACAGTAGGAGACTAATAAAGTTTGGTGAGCTGCTCGCATTGAGACACCCAACTTGTGGCATGCTTTTATGTGGAACTACACTGTTCATGACAGGAAGCATCTGAGCAGAGGGCAGGCAGGCAGGCAGGCAGGGAGGCGTGGGGAGGAGTCTTAAGTTGGGTGCTGTGTTGCACTTGAAGCCCTCTGCCATGTGGACTTAGAAGCAGCATTCTGCCTGGAAAAGTTACAGTGCAGCCTTGGTGAGCTTGGGTGTGGGGGAATCATGGTGGGGGTGTTCAGGTGGAGACCCCTGGGATCATGTAGCGGCACAGATCTGGGATACAGAGTCTTCTGAAGGCTGCCTATGTGACCCAGGAGGCTTGGGAGGGGGTCTCATTAGGAGGAACAATTTGACAAGTTGGGAAGGATGATGAGGTTGATACCATCTCAGGGATTGACCAAGAAGACAAGAGACCCTTAATCAGCTGTGAATCTCATCTCCAAAGCTGTGACAGCACTCAGCCCCTCCCTACTGCTGACTCCCTCCTCCCCCTGAGATGGCTTGTCCCCCAGGGAGCCTCTCAACACACTCCACTAACACAAGGGGCCCACATAACATGTCTGTACAGTACCAGGTGACAGCCTGGGTCTCCAAACACAGCTGTGTCAGCCACATCCTGTACTACAGGATGCTGAGTGATTTCCATGGAAATCACCCACCCTGGTGGAAATCACCTAGGGCCTCTATCACCTTCTGGTATCTGTGACAGATATGGAGGAGCTAGGGAAGTCCAGCTGCCATGGCAACCATACTGGGAAAATACAGAGCCCCGTGACCACAAAAGGGGGACCCACTACAAGGGGCGGCTGTGGAAGTGGTTGGGAGGCAGGCTTTCAAGGCCTGGGGATTGTCTGCTTACCAGGATCTAGAAGTGAAGCCCGGATGGTCAGGCCATTCAGACCCGAGATCTACAGGCAGACAGCCCAGCTGTGGGGGTACACAAACCACAGGAGCTTCTCTGGCACCAGTTAAAACTCTTCTGACGGGCATGGGGTTGAATGCAGACGCAACTTTGTGGATGGCTGGAGATCTAGTTTCAGGGAGAGGACATGCCCACATCCAAACCAGTTCTTGCCCATGATAATGTGACCTGGCTAAGTCCACACACCTCTCTGAGCCTGTGGTGAGAGACCAGGGATGGTTCCTGGGCCACAGGCCTGGGGGGAGGGTCAGGAGAAATCTCAGTAAGTATGTTCTGTAAGTCAGTCACTGTTAGTTGTGGATTTGCAAACTGTAGAATTCTATGATACTTTTTCTTGGCTTTCTCTTTCTCTCCCTGTTGTTTGTTTGTCTTTTGAGTCAGGTTCTCATGTAGTCTAGGCTGGTCTCAAAGTAGCTACATAGCCAAAGATGACCTTGAACTTCTCACCCTCCTTCTTCCATCTGCTGAGTTCTGGAGTGCTGGGATCGCAGGTGTGTGCCACCATGCCCAGTTTAGGCTGCAGATTGACCTAGGCAAGTTCTATACTAACTGAGCCACATCCCCAGCCCATGAGGCCTTCTGAAGGTCATGCTGGGAGCTCTGCAGGGAGGGAGGGAGAGCACTGCACCGGTTCCTTGGGTTGAGGAGGAAAGCAGCTTGCAGACCAGCAGCTGGCCGGGCTGCAGCAGGTGGGCATCCTGGGTGCTGCACCCGAGTCTCCCTTGGGAGGCCGGGGGAAGACTACACTAAATGCTGATATCAGGAAGAGGGGCAAGTGTGTGGCCTTCGTCTGCACGGTGATCTCTGGGCCCCACACAGGTGAGCAGGTAGGGGTGACCAGCTTGCCCATACTGTGTCAGGGAAGGCAGCAGGAACTGCTAGGTGGTTCTTGAGACCATGTCCCCACCCTTGCGGGTCTCACCCCGCCCTGGAGCTAGCTAGATCCTTTGCAGTTAGCACTAGAGCAAGGTGAGACCCAATCGGTCTCCCTCTGCACAGCTGGCTGTTTGTGAGATGCTGTGAGAACACAGCCTGTGCCCCCTGCCTCTCACTAGGAAACATGGATACCCCGCTGAGCAGCACTAAACAGGATATGGACAGGGAGGGCAACCAGGAAGGGCCAGGCAGCTCTGTACCCACCCCTCTAACAGATGGGAGGACCTCAGCCTCGAGTGGCCCTGCTGGCTGTAGGGGAGAATGGTTTGCACAAGTCCCTGCAGTCTTAGGACTTTCTGGAGAAACTGCAGCCCGCTCTACAAAAGCAAGAGTAGGACATGCTCAGCCTGCTATTTTTACTTCCCCTAGGAGATGAGCCTGATGGCCAGCCTCTGTGAAGAGCCACCATGGGAAAAGTGTGTTTATCATCTACATCCATACACCTAGCTTTGCTCCCGCTGCTGGGGACCCTAGCCAGCACCCAGAGCCAGCCCATACCCCACAGCATAGGAAAGAGAACTAAGCCCAAAGAGATAAGCTTGAGGTGCTAACACTTAACCCTGCAGGACAAGTGGGTCAGGGGAGGGTGACAGAGGGACAGAGGAAACACTGCATTCTGTAGAGCACCCCAAGGTCTTTCTGAGGAGAAGAAGTTTGCTGGGAGCTAGCTGTGTCCTTGTACAGGGAACAGCATTCTGGGCAGAGGGAACGGCTCAAAGATAGCAAGAGGCCTTGTGTAATGGAGCAGAGCATGACAGAGCAGGAAACCAGGGCCTGGGAGACCTGTGCAAATGGTGTGGGACCCTGTAAGTCACTGACATATTTCCTGAAAGTTGTGGGAGGCCACAGGAGGCTTCAGCATGCATGGGAAAGATGAATGGTTAAGGGACAGACCGCAGGCTCATAGGTAAGGGCAGCACTGGCCAAATGGGCACCAGAAATTACCAGGAAGGAGGCTGAAAGGCTCTGGAGCCATGAGCGTGACCTGGGATTGCTGTGGTGGAGGAGGTGGTGTGTGTCAGCTTGACCAGCTGTGACACTTGGTTCAAGGCCAGCCCTGACCCTCACATCCCTCTACAGCTGAAGCAGGAGGTGGGCAGCATGGTGATGGACATCATGAAGAACTACAAGGTCAATGCCAGCAGCAGCCATGAGGAGAGCCTGCAGGAGGCTTGGGACTATGTGCAGGCGCAGGTGAGGAGGGCTGGTGGTGACGCACGGCTGCACATCTGCAGTCTGATGTCCGCACAGTCAGGCGCGTGCTTGTGTTGCCCCGGGAAATGGGACACGAGCGCTCCTGGCCCCCAAGTACAGCCTCGGGGACAGCCCCTGGGCCTACAGGGCTGACTCTTGTTTGTTAGCTCTGGAAAGGTGTCACAGAATAAGCAGGGCCTGCCTTTGTCCGCTCTGTGGGACAGATCCCGTGGCACCCACGCTCAGAGTCTCCAGCCTTTCTGTCAGAATTCCTGACAGCTGCGGCAGGGCAGGGCTGAGGGAGGAGGGAGGCAGCCTCTGCTCATGCCTGTAGCGCCCCCTTCTGGCTGCTGCAGACCTGAGCTTGGGTGTACTAGATGGCCCAGAGGATGTCAAAACGGATACCATTCCCTCTCATTTGGTCCCCGAAGGAACCCATAGATAGCACCTTGAGCTTCCATCCCAGAGAGGCTTTCTGCCCCCTGCACGAGAGCATTTTGTCCTTTAGAACAGCACAATTGATCTTGTCTCCTTTTTCACCTTGGCAACCAGGAAGCTCAGCGCTAGATCTCAGCCTTGACTGTCATTGGGCAATCTGGACCCATTCGTGTACGTTGTCTGCCTCACCCTGTAGGGACCTTAGTTCCTGTTCTTCATTTGTGAGAACCTCAGCTCAGCTCGAAGTGACAGAACTGGGGTTTGAACCCAGTCCCAGACCCCCACGCTCAGCCTTTGTCACCAGCTAACCTCATATCCCACAAGCCTGTGCCGGCCAGTCTTACCCTTGAGCTCACCTCCTCCAGTCCGCATGCGTGTGCTAACTGCTTCCCATTTGGGCTCTCTGCTGTGTTTGTAGTTTGTGTTACTTCTCAAAAGCCTCTTGAAGTCCCTCCTGATGCAGGACACCCCAGGGGGTGCAGAAGCGGCCAGTCTGAGTCTCACTGGAGGTGGGCTGCTCCAGCTGGCTCGGTGGTGGATCACAGCCTGTCTCCACTCTGCACAGGTAAAATGCTGTGGCTGGGCCAGCTTCTACAACTGGACAGACAACTCAGAGCTCATGAACGCCACGGGGAGCACTTACCCCTGCTCCTGCGAGAAGACGGGAGAAGAGGACAACCAGCACATCGTGAAGAAGGGGTTCTGCCAGGTCTCCAACTCTACCTTGGGCACAAACCGCCCGGAAGAGTGGCCAGTGTACCCGGAGGTGTGTCAGGGTGGGGCTGGCAGCCGGGAGCAGACCCCCCCACCCTGAGAGCGCAAGTGTTCCAGCCGCTAGGCTTTCCTGGGCTGTCACTCGGGTCTCATCATGAGCCGGGGCCCGGGCAGTCTCCCTGCTGCAGTGCGTGGTGGCTGATATGGAGTCTTCCCACAGGGCTGTATGAAGAAGGTGCAGCTGTGGTTAGAGGAGAACCTCGGCATCCTCCTGGGCGTGTGTGTCGGTGTTGCTGTCATTGAGGTCTGTCCCTCCCCCAGCCTCCCCTGAGCTTTGTTTGTTTGAGACAAGGTTTCTCTCTGTGGCTTTGGAGCCTGTCCTGGCACTCACTCTATAGACCAGGCTGACCTTTAACTCACAGAAATCCCCTTGCCTCTGCCTTCCGAGTGCTGGGGTTAAATGTGACCACCACCACTGCCTGGCTTAAAATGTGTAGCCCAGCTGGCCTCGAATTGGTGATCCTCTTGCTTCTGCCTCCTTCAGTAAATCCTACCAGCAGGCGCTATCACAACGGGACCCCTGGGCTTTGATTAAAATAGTCCTCTCCCCTATTGTCTCTGCGCTGATACCCATGGGGTGAGTGGTCCATGGGCTTCCAGAGGTGCCCTGGCCTCAGTCCATCCAGCTGTGTGACATCAGCCAGGGCACTGCCCTTCTCTGGGCCTCCTTCAGCAGCCTGCCTGCCTCAGGTGGCTGTGCCTGGAGCCGTGTTGAGCTGGGTGGTAGGGTTCTGGGACCTGGGTCAGCCATCCTGACTTTCACCTGTCTTTTACAGCTGCTGGGGTTGCTCCTGTCCATCTGTTTGTGCCGGCACATTCATTCTGAAGACTACAGCAAGGTCCCCAAGTACTGAGCTGCTGACGTCCCCTCTGTCCCGTGTCTCTCCACTCGCAGCATCCTAGGGGCCGCTCTGGCTCCTCCCCCATGGCCTGTGTCATCCACCACTGAGGGCTCTGGCCCATCCTGAGCAGGACCTATCAGGGGCTTTCAGGGCCTGGACCCTTCTCCCTGCCTCTCTGCCAGTATGGAGCCCCGGCTGTCCTGTGGCTTGCTGTCCAGGGGCCCCTTAACAGCTTGAAATGGCTCCCAGCGTTACTGTACAGGATGGCTGGGTCCCCACCCTGAAGTCATATTATATTGTACTAAATACCGGGGAGGGTGGATATAGCACCCGTGGCTGCCCACGGACAGGCCACAGGAAAGGTTAGTGCCCCCTGCCCCTGTGATAATGACACTTTCTTTGTGGGTTTTTCATGTTTCCGTGGGAGACAGAGAGTAAACAGTCTTTCACACCTGACAGTCCCCTCACCCCAACAGCACAGCTCAGCAGGGGTTTGGGGACTGCCCCAGGCAGCCTCTAATGAGCTCTTGATGAGGGACCCAACTGCTTAGGGACATGGGTCCCTCAGGTCTGGCACAGGACCCTGGGTTGTCTGTGCACCAGAGAAGGATGAGCTGGGCTGATTTTTTGGGAAGCTCTCCCTGTCCCCTGGGCTAAGGGTGGGTGGTTGAGGCTGTGCCTTGCAGGGTGGGGGAGGGGCTCCATGTGCTCAGCTCTGATATCAACTATTAAAGGAGGGTTTGTAACAATACAGCCTGAGGAGGCGTGTCCTAAATTATGGGGTGGAGAGGACATGGGGATGACTGGAGGGAGCCATGGAGATGACCCTGAAGGCCTGATGTGGGGTTCTTGTGTTCCAATTCATCTTCACTGGTCCTTCATCCTCAGAAATCCGGGCACATGTGCTGTAGAGAGCCAGGAAGCCACAGTATGGCATACGGCCTCTTTCTGGAGCATCGGGTTTCAATTAACACTCACAGAAGGAGACTTTTTCATAATAAGTAAAGCAAGTAGGATGTGTGACTCGAGGCGTTTGAAATGAACTGTCCCTCACAACCCCAGCATACTCAGCCTGGACACACACACACACACACACACACACACACACACACACACACACACACACACACACACACACGAGCAGGTGGAAGGTGGCAGGAACGGACAGGTGGGCACTTCTCCCACTCCCACTGTGCGGCCCTGAAGGACAGAGAAGGGCAGGCTCCAGGGGAGGGATCCTTGCCTCCTAGTGAGTGGCTTGCTAGGCTATGCAGGAGATGTTTCAGCAGAACCCACCAGGGGGCGCTGCTGCCCCATTTTAGGAGCTCAGGGACCCAAAGGCTCCTGTCAGTGCCTGTACCTGGCCTGCCCTGGGAGTCTCTCAGCCAGTCTGGGACAGTTAGGACAATGCAGACTCCAGGGTCTGGGGAGACTGAGCCACAGGTGAGCAAAAGAGAGAGGAGCGAGCTGGGCTCTGCTGGAGAACCTGGTCCTGGGATGGAAGAGGGGTCAAGAGACTTTCTGTGGTCAGAGTCCATCTGCATAAAGTCAGGGTCAGGCCAACCATGGCACCCTATCCCTGAGGTCACTGGGAACTTCAGCCTCTAGGACTCGCTTTTTTTTTTTTAGGCAGAGTTTAGCAGGGCAGTGTGGGACCCTTGCTGGGACCTGGGTGAGCACTTACTATGTTTCAGAGCTAGGGTTTCTGAATAATGCTTGTTCAGCTTCTCAATTAATAACCTTCCTTGCCCCACAAAGTGACATACTAAAACATAAACCTTTATCCCAGCACTCAGGAGGCAGAGGCAGGAGAATCTCTGTGAGTTATAAGCCAGCCTGGTCTACAGAGCAAATTCCAAGACAGCCAGGGTTACATAATGAGACCATGTCTCAAAAACAAACATACCATAAAATAGTACAAGAAAAATATATCTTTTTTTTAAATCTAGGAAGCGTGGGCTGGGGTGAAATAAACAATAAACAGCCCAGTGGCCCATAGGTACCAAATGCATACAGCACACCTAGACCACTCTACATAGCTACATCCTCAGCAGACATCGCCAATCAATCACAGATCCCATTTTCTCAGCCTAGGTGCTCTCTGGACATACCTAATGGCCTACATCACTCATTGTGGCCTTAGATTCCTCCACTCAGCACCATCAGTCAATCTCTTGGAACTGGAGTGAAAGCAGTTGCCGTCCTTAAGCTCTCAGGGTTATGCCAAACCTTGGATCGTTCTACTTCTGAGCTTCCTGAGCAAAAAGAGGAAGCTTTGACAGCTCCAAAGCTACGGCTACCTGTCCCTGTTCTTAGCGCCAGGGAAGGTGTGATTACCTGGACTCTAGAACCCAAGGCACTCTGTGCCCTTTCCCAACCCTTGACAACTTTCCTGTCATTGATCCACAAAAACCAAAAAGGAGCCTGTGTGCTCCCCACTAACAGCAGGCGCGTCACTCCGCTGCTGCCGACAGTGACCTGGAAAGGCCAGCGGCTGATAGAGGGGTCCCAGTGTTACTCAGCAGTTAGTGTTGAAATAGATTTGCTGAGCCCCATTTCACAGATACTGAAGAGCCCGAGGCCGGTAAGGTCAGGGCATTGTCCTAGCTGGGGGGAGTCGGGTGGCTTTCGATGGCTTTGCTGCATGGTAGAGTTATGCCAGGGACACCCAGTCTTGTCCCTTGTAACAGGTGAAAGAAGGCTAGTCAAGAGGTCGCTGGGACCTGTCTCCAGCTCACAGGCCGTTCTGTGAGAGCATGCTAGGCAAGATGGGGGTTGCAGCTACGCTGGTTTAGTCTTGAGCTAGTCAGAGACCTGCATCAGATGTGGAGAAGTGAGAGTCAAGCTCACCTCAGATCCATGTGGGGCCTGGAAAGGGTCTGATCATTTAGAGGCCTCATCAGTAGGCCGCAGGGAGGATGGTAGCTCATCTCTGCTCCGCTCCAAGGAAGAGACAAGAGCAGCTAACTGAACTCAGGGGAGGCTACAGGACCCTAGGCAGGGATCTTGGGGCCTCTTTTTTCCCCTCAAGTGTTGGATTAAACATGATGGTGTGAGGCCATCAACAAGGTGCCTGGCACCTGGCCACCAGTGTCCCAGGCTGAGCAGACCTGTCCCCTCCTGCCACCCTCTGTGGGAGGCAGGAGGCAGGAATGCTAGCTAGGGTCTGTGGTGGCTGCTAGGTAAATGGAGAGTTCCTACCCTGCTGTTCTACCTGGGAGAGGAGAGCGTTCCAGGCAGGGTTTTTGCCAGGGGTCTCTTAGTCCCTGGGGTTGGAGACAGTGCACAGGTGAGTCTCTCGCTCCCAACTTCTCTCTCTGCCTGAGTAAAGGGGAAGCTGGGTGTTTGTGCTGGGACTGTCTAGGGAGCCACCCTCCCCCACAGGAATAGCTGCAGTCAGGGAGCTGTGAGCGGGTGTAGATTATGGTAGGCTCAAGAATATGCCATGGTCAAGGGTGGGGTACAGCTCAGACTGACAACTCTGACCTGTCCACTCTGCCTAAAGCCTTGTGCCTGGAGGGCACACACCAGAACCAGAACTGGAGCCCGTACTTTTGTCTTCAAAGGCTACTTGGGCCTCTGCCTTCATCCAGGGAAGGAGCTGGTAGTCCAGGAGGTAACCTGGTGATCGGATGCCCCAAGACCATATGTCCTCTATCTGTTCTGCTGTGTAAACTCTGGGGGAATGACTCCATAGAGGAGCCTGGAACTGGAGGAGTTTGGGAATCAGTGACTAGAGCAGGCCCCAGACAGACATTGAGTCTGCCCCACCCACTTCAACCCCACAGCTCTGCCTACTGGGAGGAAATCTGGGGTTCCACTGCGCCTGGGAAAAGCCCAGACTATGTCATGTGTTGAGCTATGAGTCGCTCCTGTGTGAAATCTGGTCACTGCCACCTCTTATGGCTACCCTACCCCACCCCATGTCATCCTTCCCTTTCTTCCAGGCCTATTGAGCTCTGGCAGGGGGGACCTGGCCTTGGCCCCCCTAAATCCCGAGGTGCCATATCCCAGGACCTAGGGCGTGGCTCTCCAGAATGGCTCCCTGGGCTGCTGAGCTCTCAGCTCCTATGAGGCTTTCCAGGGACAACAGTGCCATCTCCAGGCTGCTGTCCTCCCTGCCATGGTCCAGGCTAGAGACATGCCGGGCAGAGGACTTGCACATGGGCATGAGGAAGAAGGGTGCCCCTGGCCTTCCAGCCCCTGGGGAAGCCAATGGCAGTGCCCTAGGATGACAGTATAGATGCTGACTAGCGGGAAGGGCAGTCTTAGTCTAGGATTGGATCTTGCATATGGATTGGAGGGAGATGCAGAGGCCGAGAGGGGCAGGCAGGTTGGGGGAATTTCAATGGCCAGTGTAGAGTTATTTTAGTTTGACTATCTGACATAACCAATAGGGAGTGGCTATTCTAAATGTCAGATCAGGGTGTGCGCCTGCCCATATGCCACACCTGTGTGCCAGACCCTTGAAAGCTGCAAGGGCTCAGTCTCTTCCCAGCGAGGGGGAGTCCCAGCCTCCTTCCCTGCAGGCCAAGCTGTGGGCTGCAGAGGGAGGACCCTGCTGAGTCAGAGTACTCCAGACACCTGACCATCAGTTCCCACACTGGTCCTAGTTTGGAGGTCCTTCCATAGAGTAACGACAGAAGAGTGCTTGTGGGACATAGACCCTGGGTCATCCAGTCACCAGGGCATCTCCTGGCTAGGGCTGGTGCTCCTTCTAGCCTCTGGAGTGTCTGCCTATTCTTTGTGGTTTTCTAAACCTGTGAACTAAGGTAAATCCATTCATCCCCTGAGCACTTGCTGGACACTGATGGAATTTACAGTCTCTTAAGAACGTAGCCATGCAGCTAGCAAGACAGCTCAGTATGTAACAGCTGCTGCTGAAAAAAGATGCAACCCTTTGTTTGATCCCTGGGAACTCACACAAAGGTAGAAAGAATCAACTCCGTATAGTTACCCTCTGTCCTCACGTGTGCCACCTTGTATATATGCCCCCACACACTGGTAAGAAATTGTACGTTGAAATACCCATCCCGCAAAACCCACAGGAGCTGGAGAGGTGGCTCAGTGGTTAAGAGCACTGACTGCTCACTCGGATGTCCATGGTCTATGCTGCTGCCAGAAGCCAAGTTGATATCCTTGTCCTGTGATGCTACTGAGGACCGTGATGGTGTCTGGGGTCCGTGCTGCAGCTGAGGACCATGTTGGGGTCTGTGGTCCTACTGCAGCTAGGGGCTGTATTGACGTCTGTGACCTGTGTTACCACTAAAGGTCATGTGAATGCCCATGGTCTGTGCTGCCACCTGAATTCATGTTGATGTCCATGAGTTGTGCCGCCACCAGGGGCCATGTTGATGGGTGGCCTGTTTGCACCAAGGCCTATGATGGTGTCCATGTCCTGTGCTGTGGTAGAAGGCTGTTTTGATGTTCATGGTCTGTATTGCCATAGGAGACCATGCTTGGGTCTATGGTATGTGCTGACACCAAAGACTGTGTGGATGTCCATGGTCCTTGCTGTCACCAGAAATCATGTGGGAGTCCATGCTCCATGCCCCTGCTGACTGTACAAGGCAAGGAAGCTACTTTTGCAGTGCCAACAATGACTGCAGACTCAGAGTTGAGGAAGAGGGACATAGAAGGCTTCTGTGACAACACCTACCTGCACCCCATCCCCCCAAAAGTAACAGCCTAGACAGAAAGCCATTGTAGAGAAGTCTTAAAGACTGTGACAAGGGCCAGGCGGTGGTGGCG